AAGGTATATACATTGGTCATAGCTTTTTTTTCGGCTTAGTTGCTAGTATATTAAAAAATATGCGATTGAAAATTGACTTAGGTACCCGAACGATAGTCTGAACTGTAAGAAAACTATATCATTTTCTTGAGCGTCTTGTCGCTCAACCACGCTAGATTCACATATACCATAGAAAAATTCGCCAAAATAATCAAAAAACTTGAGGAGTTTTCTGGCTTCGAATTTATGAGAAGGCGGGCTGAAAATTATTTTTATAAGATAGAAGATCCTATAGTACACATAGTATTGATACTCTTGATACTCCCAATACTCCTGATACTTCTGATACTTCATGTAGTATTAATTTTTTATACGCATTTTTTACTAATATCACAAATAGTCTTCATACTATGCGTAGAATTAATCCTTCCGATACTCTGCATAATACTAATTCTCTGCATAGTTTTGATACTACACATAGTCCACATAGTATTAATATTTTGCGTACATTTTTTATTAATAATATGAAAATCCGATCGACTGCTAATATGATCAACCCCTTACCTAGAAGATATATACGCTCTGATGCTACAAAATTATCTTCTGCAGATTACAAAGATATCATGCAATACTAAGATATGAAATCCAAGCCTCTAGATTAATTAAGAAAGAGATTTCATGTATCAACTTCTCATTTATATCAGATTTGGAGAGGACAGGAGGTAGGAAGGGTTGAATGGAACTATTCAGCTGTCCCGCTTTCTTATCTAAGTACAGATGATATAGATAGACAGGATATATCTGAAATCCCATCAGAGCGTAACATTATTACCGAAAGTAAGACAAAAAAGACCGAAGGAAAGAAAACCAAGTCTAAATCTATTCGCATCTCTGACTCGCCTGTTATTCAGATTAAGCCGACCTTGGAAAACTCTGAAGGCTTAAAAGGTGAAGAATTACATGCATTTTATCAGAATGAGGCTAAGAGGGATGAAAAAAATAAAGCAAATATATCCCATATACTAGCTATTACCTAATTATTTTTACTGTTTGCTGAAGTAAACCATCTGTAATCTTTCGCATAAATCATTAAGTTCTGCTTTAGATTTGAAAGTAGTATATAAGTTTTTTTTGAGCTTCTCATAACTCACTTTTTTTTTTAATATATTATCGTCCTCACTTAAGTCCTGCAAGTCTTGCGAAATTCTATCTGGAGTTGAGGAAACATCGCATTCAGGAGTAATATTCGCGCAATTCAACTCAAGCTTATTCTTAACCTTATGCATAGTGACTGGAAAGATATAATCTTTTCCATTAAGGGAATCTTCAGCTCATTAGTATTCCAATCTATTGCGCATTTGTACTTCTTTAAAAGTTGATTGGAGAATATTAGCGTAGGCTTGTGGTATCTCATAACAACAAAATCTTCATAGATAGTACAACCTGGGGCTAGAGTAATAGGCAAATTACGAACAATTCTAGCAGATTCAATCGGAACTGTAGCAATACCACTGAGATCATGTGTTTCGGATTTATCAATTTTAGCCCCCACACGCTCAACAATATTTTCTGTTATAATAGGGGGCTCTGCTCCAGAATCAAGAGT